TATATATATATATATAGCGTATTGCGAGGTATTTGGCAACAACACCCAGCCCTACAGATGTGCTAACAGGGTATTTCAATACAATATGACAATGAAACAATGTATGCCTCATACAATAAAGACGGACATAAAATGAATGATTCAACATTTCTGCCCATATTTTCTCAGTAATTTGATGAAATTCTACACCATCAGTGTCAGCATAGTTACACCTGGAGCATTTTATGACTGAGATATTGGGAATGTTTGCTCAATCTTCTAGAATTAGGTTTAATCCTATTACGTTTAAAACTTAATCCTATAATAAACCGAGCAGAGACACAGGACTTCACTGTTATAGATGGATATTTTGTTGAAGAACACTGAAAAAGCATCTGACCAGCAGATTACTGAATAAACAATGACTATTCAGCATGTATGCTTATTCTACAGCCATTCTAATCTAGTCTTTTCCAACCTTGTTTGTCCCCAAAAACCTCATCAGTGAGCCTATAGTTCCCCTTCATCAACACTAAAGCAGGTATGTGCTCCATTTTGAATCATTTTGTAATATCTATAGTATTAAAGTGGCAATTTTTGCAATGACACCTTCTCTTTTTAAACTGACACTTGAGCTTGTTTGTCAGGCAGGCCATATTTTTTGCAGTTCGGGAATCAGGGGGCCATCAGAGAAACTCTACCTGAAAAAAACTCTACCTGAAAAAAAACCTAATGGTAAATGTATTAATAAAAGAAATCTAGATATAAAAGTCAAGTCATTTGCACACTAAAATGTAAACACCAGAGAGCTCAACAAGTATGAAATGTCACCCACCTACAAGTAAACACACAGTCATGTATAGATTTAAATGATAAGATATGACTACAGGGAACAAAAACTCAAAATACTTGCAAAAATCTTATGAAACATGCTCAAATACCCACTAGAAGTATATACACACCAAATCAACACTGAAAAGCATCTAACTAGTAAATAGGAACTACAGAGCTAGCTAAACTTGAAGCAATGTTCAAGTCACACTTGTCTGGAACAGAGTACAGCAATCAAATTAGTTTGGACAGGTGTTGAACCCAGAGGCTTGCTTGTTGTCACGATAAACTAGACAGTTCAAATGCAAGCCACCTAAAAGATAAACAAAACCTGTTGCACAGGCCCTATCAACCTAATGGGAAATTGTTATTTTAATGTATTGCACTGCACAAGGATTTTTACATAATATTTTTTAAAATATGGTACTGTATATATGCACATTGTAGCTTTCCAGCAAAAAATCAAGGTACTTGTAATCAAGGTATTAAAATGCAAAAAAAAAATAAAAATAAATGAACAGATACTATAGGGAGTTTTTCAAATATGCGTAGTTCTACAATACTGCTTAACAAAACAAGATAACTCTGCCTTGACTTCACAACTCCAATGCTGAAGGTGATAAGGGCACAGCCTCTACTGGCAGTGAAGTTACACCCAAACATCCTAGAGACAAAGAGGGAAAAAAAAAAAAGTGACCACTCAGAATATAAAACAAAAACAAACCTAACCAAAGTACTGACATAACAGATTGTGCTCAAGATAGCCTACATGCAGGCCTGCTTTCAAGGTTAATATGTAATGTATACTGGGTACAAGGACATCTGAATTCTTATTTCAAACTACTAAAAGAGATAGAAAAGTAAATCTTTACAAACTTGGTCAAAAAGCAAGATGGATTACTAAATATAAACTAAAATGGGTTGTACAAGTGAAAATATTTCAAAGCTGGATTGTATTGTGTAAATACAATGGGAAACAGTTGAGATGCATGGTAAAAAAAATGAGAAGTGTACATAGTGCCTTCATGTGCTCCATTTTTTCCAGTATGTAATTTATAATTACATATTATTAGGTGAATATAGGAAGTAAGGCTCAGAAGTTCCTGAAGGCAGAGGAGTATAAAAGTAAAATAAACAACTCTTCCCACACAATTGGAAGAAAAGTGCCACATTTCAGGAATACAGTACACGGCAGTGGCCCAAGAAATACAATTTATTATCCAAAACAAATCTACTGTCCCAGATCAAAAGTTCTCAACTGTATCCAACAGGAAGTAAAACCCCACAAATCGACATTTACCAAGTCCAACCATGCAATCATGCTGCCTATAATAGTTTTCTGTATTTTATAGGAAATACAAGTTTATCAATAACTACAAACTAATATTTCGTCCCAAACATCAAACCCTCCTAAATGACAGCTTCGTTTAACATACTTTAGAATAAATAAAGGTTTCGACAAAAACGGTTTTATTTTCATTATATGTGTATTTTGTGTTTAAAAGACACTTGGGCATGTCCCACTTCTTGTAACAGGGTCTCTAGAGAAAACGAATAGAAAATAAGGTCAAATAGGCTAATATTTAATTGACCCAGTGAAGTTAATGAGCAATATTTCCTGAAGTATTAGCACCTAAATTTCACCTTATTTGTTGAAAAAGCTAAACAATTCAAGGGAAACATGCAAAAGTGCCTAATATCTCTGATTCATACACATAAGCAGCACATCCACGTTGGGGCTCTGAAAATAAACCTCCACATCAACCAAACACGCGCAACATCCGCAGAAACGCCCGTCTCTCATGATCAGCCGTCAGCTGGGTCAAACTAACGTTAACCCATACAGCGAAATAATTATCACGGTTGCAAGTCTCATTCACCTGACATTTTTCTCCGAGTAAAATATGCACACAGGGACTTGTAATAACTGCCTGTCGACCAGTAACAAAAAGCTCGCGCTGGAAGGGTTCATTTTTTTACATTTATAAACAAACAAAACAATGAATAAACAGGGACATACATAAAGACACACTACCTCTCGGAGACTTTGTCCTCCGCAGTCTCTTATGCTATCTTGTGGAACGCATTAATCGCCTGTTCCGACCGGTTCAGACTCATAAACCCTGTAGTTTCTCTGAAGCTGTCGTTGCTGCCATATACCCCACCCTCAGGACATGCAAATGAACCGGATATGATGTCGCAACCCGTAGACTCCGCCCTCTGGGTGAGGGATGAACGGATATGATGTCATGAACAGATCATGTGGTATGCTGCTGGTAGATACCGGCCATAAATATTTAATGATGTAATGTGTTTGTTATGACTTTAAAGGAAAAATACAGTATTCATAAGAGCAAATGCTAATTATACATACACAAGTTTGCAATCTTCATGCATGATTTACCTCAGCGGTAACATTTAGACTACAAAGTAACCGAAACAACAAAAAACTGTTCAACTGTATGATCAGATCTTAAGTGCCTCTTTATTATTATTATTATCTAAAAATATGGGTTTCAAACCTTTATGCCAAAGACTTCCAGACATGAGGGACCCTTTGGCATAAAGACTCCCACTTCTAAAAATGTAAAGACAGATATTTTCATTTATAAAGACCTATATAGTGTGTAAGAAAAAGTGTTGTATCCAATATTAGTAGGCTGATGCCCCCTATTGTTGAACATCAAATAAATAAATCATAATGAATGAATTAATGAAAACCAAAACTGATTAACAATTTCATATACAGGCAAGTAACGATATCAAATTTACACACTTTATATACACATAAACAGCATGCCAGTCTTTTTTGAGTCTCCACCGGAAATGAAGTAGGCCTACTTGTTGGGCTTGTCTTGTAAGGAGGTGTTCTGGTTACAGGAGAAGTCTTCTGAGGAAACTGAAGCTGAAGGGAGTGGGTTACAGACGACTTCCTAAAGTCAACAGTCATTTCTTTTGTTTTACATTATGAAATTGTTGGCTCTGCAGCACGACCTAAGGTTTGTCACAACCTCTCACCTGTTTAATTAAAGGCTGAAAACAGTTTTGAAGAGTTCTAGTGTTGTGAGAGCATGAGGTTTGCTCATGGAGACTAAGTGCATGGAATCTGTTGGTCAGGGAGTCAAGGATCCAGTTACAGAGTGTGGTATTAAGTCCAAGTATGGAGCATTTTCTGATGAGTGTCTTACGTATGATGGTGTTGAATGAAGAACTGAAATAAGTGAACAGCATTATGACATAAGTGTCTTTATTATGCAAGAGTGAGAGGGCCAGGTGGATGACCCTTTTAATCATCCACATTGGAGTGGCTCTGTATGTAGGCATCATGCATAAGCAAGAAAATATCTGCATTTTAGCCAAGGCCTCTTGGTTGTTGAGTAATTGTGTGGCTATACACCATCATCTTACTGAAATAGCATGTGACAAATGAAACATTCAGTAGCCTACTCATCTAGTTCCTCACACATGGCAGGTTTCAACATGTTTGTATTCACTTTTCTGCATGTTCTCTCATTTCTGGAGTAACTGCTATGCAAGGAAACAGAAACTCAGTTATGCCGTATATTCAATCGTTTTTTGAAGAAGCAGTATTAAGTACCTCCTATATACAGTAAGTGCTGATAACATACCATCTTTACTGTTTTCAGCAATTTTACAAGTTCTCATTTTTACGCAGCTTCAGATAACAGCTTCTACTAAGTCAGGGGCAGGCAAGTTCGGTCCTAGAGAGCCGCAGTCCTGCAGAGTTCAGCTCCAACCCTGAAAAAAAACCTCACCTGCCTATAGCCTTAGTAATCCTGAAGACATTGATTAGCTTGTTCAGGTGTGTTTGATTAGGGTTGGAGCTGAACTCTGCAGGGCTGCGGCTCTCTAGGACCGAACTTGCCTACCCCTGTGCTAAGTGAATAAATTATATGCAAAATATAAATAGGATATATAAATAATAGGCCTATAAAATCAACAGAGCTGGGTAGTAACTGATTACATGTAATCTGGATTATGTAATCAGATTCCAAAAACTAAGTACTTGTTATTAGATTAAATTACATTTTAAAATACTAAAAATCAGACTACAGTTAGCCTACTTTTTATTGATTACTTGATTACATATATTCATAGCAATTAATTATTCATAAATAATGAATTGATTCTCCCTAATTCTTTTTCATATTTTAAATTTTCCTTACCTGACATGCAGGTAAACAAAATATTATTTTGTAGTAAGTGTTTTATTTTGATTAATGTTATTTTAAAAGGATTTATTTTAATTTTACATTTTTATGATTTAATTAATTATTAGCTTTTAATTAAACTCACAAACCCCCTGCAGGTCCTTCACACACCCCAGTTTGGGAAACCTTGGATTAGTGTAATGCTTAATTCACTTTATGTTGTTAATAACAACAAATTAAAAATATTTTCTTTTATTATATTATTTAAATCAATATGATAAATTAGATTAAAAGTAATCTATAAGTAATCAAAAAAGTAGTCTGATTATATTAATGTACCTAAAATGTGTTATGTGATAGATTACATTACTAACCAAGGGCGAAAATTTCATCTAACAGTAGGGGGACAATAAACATAAAATGTCTCAAGAGCCATTTTTGAAGGGGACATGAATAATACAGCCAAACCCAACACATCGGTAGGTCAATATTAGCCTAATGTCAGTTCACACCATAGTCACACCATTCTTTTGTTAGTTGTAGTGGGTGACTTACTATCCAAGCTATGGTATTAAACAAGCTAAGCTAGGTAACCTTATAATCGCTCATAGAAAATACATATAATCTAAAATATAAATAACAATAAATAAAATATAAATATAATGATATAAAAATAGGATATCATTTATTTTGTCATGACTAATTTATTAATGATCCAGCATCATCTGTATTAAAGAGAAAGAATCACTTCATCCGATGTTTAAAGCGAATAAAATAGCCTCGACAGCCTACTTACACATAACTGAAGCACTTTGCCCTCTCCAGTCTCTCCACCGGACTCGTGTGTGTGTCGGTATAAATGGGGAAAGCAGTGGACCAAACCCATTTGAGGCAAGGGAGGGGGACTCAAAACGTTTCTAAACGTAAAACGCTTTTTTGCGTTTATATTGTTTTACTACTTACACAATTATTTTAAGTGTATGTTCATTATATTATTTACAATACACAGAGTGGTTTGTAATGACATTTTTAAAGGGGGACAACCCCCCGACCCACCCGCGATTTACGCCCCTGCTGTTACAAACTACAATTTTTATCATGTAACGTTGATTTGGAATCAGTAACGGACTGCAATTTGTAAGTAATCTACCCAGCTCTGAATATAAACGTGCTTAGTGTTCCGTGCCGTCGAGTTTTGTTTTAAAAGTGGGAGTGCGTTGTGTTGTTCAGTTACAGTCAGAGACCTTTGAGAGAGAAGCAATGCCACAGAGGATCCTTCTTCGCCCCTCCTTCTCGTGCACTGGCATTGGCAGCTAAACCCATCATCATCATCGCTTATCTTTTCAATGAAGAGCAAGGGAGGGCATACATTCAACGACGATTTTGAGCGGTAAGGAGTTTTAATACCACATTTACTAACAACGCAATCTAAACGGTTACATTACAGTCAGCAAAAATAACACAAACTCTCGCGCTTCTGCTTTGAGGACCTCTATCCACCGCTCGTTGCTTTCAAGTTTTGAAGCAGTTCTTCCTTGCGGTCACGTGACACTTTCGGGACTTTCTTCAACATGAAAAGTCACATATAAACTTCTTATGATGCAAGTAAATAGCCTACTCAGCGACCGCCGTAAAGCGATTAGGTAACTTAACAATGTTTCTTAGTTAACGTTACATTAATATGCCCATTACAAATGCGAATGACTGTAGTCTATAACGGGCTACGATAAGATCAGCTCTGGGCGTTTACGTTAAAAATCATACTGTGGTGAGCAACGTTGCCTAAAACTAAAAGCAAAAAAAAAAAAAACACTTCCAAAGGGTAACGTATTCTATTCTTGCATTACTGTATACTGTATGTAAAATAACGTTTACTAAATTACTAAATACGATGATTCCCTCATATGTCACCATGTCACATTTTGGTTGTGTAGGCTATGTATGTGAGGTGTGACATGTTGGAAGGGATTTATTTTCAAAACAGTTCACATTTGTTAAAAACAATGCTTCGTGTAATTATGCGGAAAAAGAAATGTTGTATCAAACCATAACCAAACACATTCAGATTTCAACAGTAACATGCTAGTACAGGTATCCCGCAAACCTTTTTGTTGTCTGTAAACAAAAGGAAATAACATTTGTTCTTATTCTTTGTTTGTGTGTGTGTGTGTGTGTGTGTGTGTGTGTGCAGTGCACAGCACAATTGAGTACACCCCTTCTGAATAAATGCAAAAGATGCATTTTCTTAATGATTACTAATACAATTCATGGAAAGATGTCAAAACTGAAATGTTTTAAACATACACTTAATAAAAACAGAGAAATATATGCCATTAATGTCTGTAAAATAAGTAAATTAGCCAATTTTGTTTAAATGAAGGATTGCAGAAAATGAGTACACAATTTAATTCAACAACAACAATTCAACAACAATTTAATTCAACAAAGCTCTCCCAGGGTTTCAGCAGTATGTTTGTAACAGCACACGGAAAAATAAAATATTAGATAAATGTTATGGTTAACATCAAAGAAGCATATGTAGCTAAGATTAGGCCTCCTCTTTCAAATTCGGACCATAATACCATCCAGTTAATTCCTATTTACAGGTCTGCCTTTAGGAAGAGTAAACCGGTTTTAAGAACAGTTCATGTGTGGCAGGATACTACAAAAGAGGAGTTGAGTGGTTGTTTTCTGGCTACAAATTGGGATGTTTTTTATCAAGATGACAATATTGACAGTATTGCGGAAGTAATTACAGGGTATATTAATTTTTGTGTTGATACTGTGGTCCCAAAAAAGACCATTCAGATTTATCCAAATAACAAGGAATATATTACCTCCGAGATTAAGCAATATATTAGGCGGAGAAATCAAGCTTTTAAAAACAATAATAAAATGGGAGTTTAGAGAAATTCAAAGGGAACTAAGGAGAAAATTGAGGGAAGCGAGAGAGCAACACAATTTACGCGTTAGAGAAGCTATTTCAACTTCAAATACTAAAAAGTTGTGGGATGCTGT